CGGCCGGGGCTGAGGGGGGCCGCGGGTGTCGGACGAGCGGGGCCGGACAAAGGCCTCGGTACCGGTCCGTAACCGGAAAGCCGAGGCTTCGAGTGTTAAGGCAGCACCTTCCGCGCTCGGTCGCGTAACCGATGAACGCCTCTGGAAGGCGCCGGGAGGGGAGAGCAAGCTCTGGCACAAGCGGCAAGTCGTTTTTATTCTCTTCCGTAGTACACAGGGACAAGTCAGTCGCGATGCCTTAGCATGAAATAATACACAACACAAATGCCCCCTACTGATGTAAGGGCTTCTCTCACAATCATCTGTTTTTAAACTATGACTATCAAGGCGCATGCCTGTTCATTGATTCATAAAAGAAAAATCGCCCGTTTCTTCAATGTTTTCATTAAGACACTTTTTTTTTTTTTTTTACAAAAATACTAAAAAACAGATTCGGTGAAAATAGATAAAACTTAAAAATTACTTATCTTCCTTTAACAAAAGGAAAAATTGCCTTCAAAGAAATCAGAACAATCCCTAAAAGTTAGGTCTAGTGAGTGGGGAACCTTAGAAATGGGGTGAATAGCATTGCCACCGTATCTTACAATTGGACTGACAAAATTTGTCTGATAACAACTGGTTGGCATTTTCATGTTCAGAGTGCTCTCTGATCTAATCAGCCGCCCTCTCCTCACCGACATCCAGTCACAGTAGATGGTCAGTGCTCCATTTTAGTGCAGGGAGAGCGAGGCATGCAATAAGGGCATCACGACTGGGATGAGAAGACGGGCTTCTGGCTCTCAGACCTGGAGCATCACCAGGACCTCAGACCTGGTTCAAGAGCGCACGCTTGCTTTGGGCTGGGGAATACAGAAGATGGCGTAGATCTACCTATTGTAAGAAGCTTTGTGCAAGCAAAGGTATCTGCCTGCGTGGAACAAATTTCAGCAGATTTTGTTCTGTATTGTTTTTTCTCACTTCATTTATTTTAGCATTTAGAAATTCTTATACGATGAATCGTTCCCTTTTCTGTGGCCACTTTCCCCAGCTTGTGCTCCTCTCTTACACCTGAGGAACTGGATAAGAGGCACAAGCGGCAAGACCACACATATTCTTGCCACGTTCAATAAGGAAGTACCTAAAAAGAGAAGCAAACACGTACGGGTGAACATTCCCTGCTCCTTCAGCAGAATTAGCACAACTGATACAGGCATAAGGTGACTGTTGTCATTATGTACAAGTAAATTCCTTTCTCATGCCAGTGCAAGGAACAAATATGCATCACAGAATTATTTAAGTACAGTGATCTCATTTGTAAATTAGATTAGTTAACCAGGGAATGCTGTTCCCTGTCCCCCTTAGATCAAAAGCTACCAAAGTTAGTACCCAGCTTTATAAAATTTCACTTGCAGCTGGAAGTATGCAAGCTGCTGGATAGCTGGTGTGGAAGCTCTCTCCAGACACACCCTGTTTTTCTCTGTTCTTGTAGCTCACGGAAGTGCCACTTGCTCTATTCTGCCAGTTCCCTTGATGGCCAGCAGCTCTGCACCCGCAGGCCACGTCCCCGGTAACGTTACCACATCTGTTGCTCTAAGCTTCTGATCTAACCAGTCACACTTACGACACCAGTTTTTACAGCCGTGTCGTTCACTGCCAAGGCTCAGGGGATCTCACTGGCCTCTTCACAGATTATAAAACACCTCTGCCACATTTCAGCTTGAGAATGAGGAGGACGATGAGGGTGGCTGGTCTAGATACCCATGCATATGACAGATATATTCTTTTACTAGATACAGAGGTCTGGCAGAGTTGGGAGTCTGCTTACCCCTCCATGCCCCATAGTCGGCCCCAAGAGTTCTTAACAATCCAGTAAGGAGTCCCATTTTCTTCTCCATACCCCACAGCTAGGACAGCGTGGTTCACCTTGTCAGGAGTGTGCTCACATTTTGGGCTACAAGCAAAAGGAAAAATAATGCAGAATTACTATGTGAAAAACTAGCCTATAATTAATGGATTACCCAGCATTTCTGATTGCGCTCTGATTATGTAAAGAACTAATGAATAATCTTAACTGCCAATTGTGGAAACTAGAGAGAGATGCCAAGAAAAGCATACATGGCTCTGTTTTCTCACTAAAAAATAACTCTTGGTTATATTTGAAGTCAGGGCATTGGGCTATAAAGACGTTTCATCTGCACAGCTAGTCAAGTCTTGTTCTGAATTAATACCAATGTTGTCACACTCAAGAATGAGCTACAGTGAAAAAACTGAGCAAAGGAATTTTTTGTAGTGAAAAACAAAAGCTAGCACGAGAAGAGCTGCATGGGTTCCACACAAAGTTTACTTTATCTAGGGTCTCCCTAAGTAAACTAGACGCGTTCAGCTGCAACCCTTGGGCTGACCTGATGAACCCTACCGCTCGCCCATCCATAGCTCGCAAACGCAGACACGTACATAAGCACTGGGGTAAGTTTCCCCCAGCTTTGCTAGAGGGCTGAGAAGGCTCTCCAAAGCTCACATACTGACTTGCTGAGCTTCCAGAACCACCCTTTGGCAGTTCCACGTATGCAGTCTGGTCTTGAGGTTGGACTGGCTCCTAGCGGTAAACTGGTTGCAAATACAGTGCACTCTCTTCCCTGTGCGGCCCTCTCATCTCCATGGGCAATCAGTATTTTAAGGCCCAATTTACTTATATTTGCTATTGTCTGTTTAAAAGGAAGCAGTAGGATATGGTTGAAGCCCTGTGTGCAGCACCACAAAGAAAATCCACACAAAGAGAAATAGAGATGCCAGTGATTCCAGGCCTACACTTCACTCCATCTCCCAGGTTCAGAAATACTCACTTTGAATAGACTCCTCTTCTGTAGTGCATGAAGTCACCCGTCACCTCAAATGCAAAGCTCACTGGGTTGTGCTTCCCCACTGCTTCAACCATGCCAGCCTCATCATACTGCAAGAAGAGGATTCCAGCATTATTTATCTCCCGATCACTCGAACCAGTCAGGAACCCCCAGACCAGCAGTCAGAGCCCAGTGGGGACGGCTAATTTTGGCCTTCTGCTTGCAAGCAAGGAAACAGGCACATCTCACAGGCACTGAAGGACAAGAACCAAGAATTTTTTAAGGTCTGGAGGTGCAGCTGCCAGAAAGTTGGCAGCAAAGGCCCTGGGGCCTGTATTTTGACCACAGCGCTTCATTGGCGCCACCTTCAGAAAGGGGAGCACTTTTGAGTACCTAAGGAGAGAGAAGCAAGCTGGCCCACACAGCATGACCAGCGCAGTCAGGAACGGAGAGTGCTCCTGCCAAGCAATATAAACCAGTTGAGAACAGCTTTCAGAGCTAGCCGGCATCAGTACGTTGTCCTGCGCTGTGCTGTGCAGATACCTCCTTGGAGGCAGTGAGATGGCTGTGTGCTTTATGGGTGCCCTCTAGGTTTCGTAGGGCTCACTGCAAACGTAGCATGGGAGCGCCGTGCTGCAGAAAGGTGGGAGCAGACTCCCCCCCCGTCCCCATGAGTCAGGGACAAAACCACAGGTACAGCCTTCCCCACCTGTTGGCTTAGTCCACCCTCTGTCAGTGCAAGAGCTCTTCCAAACAGCAGCACGGAGCTGCTCCGTTGCTTCTCTGATGCTCAGCATGGATATACAGAGCTGAACCCTGGCATGACAGATACCAGCAGGAAGGGCAATCCATGCACATCACAGATAACTTGAAAACACCAGACCACAGCACTAATCACAGCAAGCAGCTGACACCAGTCCTGCTGCAATTTCCCAGGTGCCAACCACGGTCAGCAAAACCCAGCTACCTCCAGTATGTTAGCGCACAGGAAAGCGGAAGAGTACAAACGTCGGCAGGTCGCTCCTCTCTGAAGAGCGAGCAGACTGCAGCTTGTGCTGCAGAGACCAGCGCGTCTTGGGGCCTCTGCGCCCATCCAAGGTCAGGCCTGGCACAGTGTTAACACCCTGGAGGTTTGGACGTTTAACCTGCGGGAACTTACCTCTGTGATATTGACAACTTCTTTGACAAAAGCAATAGCCTTGTCCGGCTGGAACTTGCACGTGCCGTTCTGCGCAAACACAAAGGAGCGTGTTAAGAGCCTGCTTTGGACCCTACTCTGCTGATGTAGAAATTTGTCTGAACTGTGTTGGTGAGAATACCTCAGCCCGGTATGGGTAGGTGTCCTCCCCCATGAGCCCTTTGTTATACAATATGTATTCAAAGGCTTGGCTTGGCAGGCCCCTGCAAAACAACACAGCCAGAGCGTAGATTAATTAGGGCAGCAACACAGCAGTTGCTGCAGAGCAAACCCGTAAAACTTTCCCCCCAAATACTTCTCCCATCTTCCCCCCCCAGTGGGAAGAAGGGGAAGGATGGGCTGTGTATTCTAGAACCCCTAAAAGCATAAATTCCAGTTTGCTCCCTCACTGTCTTCCTACCTGGGACCTCCTGGCCTAATCCATCGCACTGTTTGGCACGGTCCTACACAGGCATGGGAATCCCTCATTCTGCAGGGGAGCCTAGTCTCCAGGGGCAAATGCCAACGCAGAAGCCTAAAGGCACGAGGCCACCTCGTCCGCACAGCACTGCTAACTGTGCCAACTCAGCTCTAGCGTGAGGAATTTGGCCTCTCACACTGAAGACCTTTTTTCATGATATGTGTCCAGCCTGCAGCCTGGATGCTATGGCCAAGGTCCCCGGCTATACAGCAAGGGGGATGAAAAAGAGATCCACAATCTTCATCAAGAAGCTGCTTCCCTCCTCGGCCATCTCCAGGGAGCGGCTCTTGCAGAGGCAATAGAAGGGGAGCGTGATGAAGATGCGTTTACAAGGAGAAGACTGAGAAAGTGAGGAGGAGTCACTAAAAAAAAGTGCCAAGAGTGGGTTTGCATGGCTCTGAGCATTCCTCAGGGACCACTTATCTTACAGAAGACAGAAGATTTCAGAAAGCTTCATTTTCTTCTTCTTTTAGCAGTGCCAGTAGAAATTTACCAAAGAGGAAGCAGAGGTTTCTGTGGGTTCCTTAAAGCACGAGATGTGCATGACCCATGAGTAGAGCAACTGATAGAACTTTCCTTGCTTTTCTTGAGAGTGTTAAAGACTAGCTGTGTGGCTATCCACGACTGTAATAGCAGAAGATATTGTAACAAAATGAATATCAGGAAAAAAATGTAATAAACGAGGAACAATAGAGGCTAGGAAGTGTGTGAGATTTAGAGAAACATTTTAACCTCTCAGGAGGGTGAAATCAAAACAAGCAAACACAACCAAACAAAACAAAAACCAAAAAGCTGTTTTCCCTGACACTTCTCAGCTGAGGGGAAACAAAAAACATTCCAAGATCGGGAAGGATCTTAATACTAGATCTTGAGAAAGGCTGTCAGTCATGGAGCATAAGCTATTCTTATTTCTAGACTTTACTATTTTATATTACTTACCCACTGCAGCCGTGGTTGTTAAATGCCTGGGCACAATCAACTAATTGCTGTTCCGCCTACAGAAAAGTTTTTGAGTCAGTATATGTTCAAACAACTGCATTCAGAATACGAGAGACAGAATGCAACACGCATGGCAGGCGATACAACGCTGCGTGCTGGTTTTGTCCGTACAAAAGGCTGTTCACCTTGTGCAATTAGGAATCGTGAGACTGAATAAATCCATGTTGCACCTCCCTGAGGAAAGGTATCAGAGGAAGACACAACTGACTTGGAGCAGGCAATTACAGCATGCTTTGTCTGAAAGACGCGTTCCTTCCAAGTTTGGTTGGAAGTTGCCTCACACCCACACGAACGGGGGTGAGATCCCTTTCAAAAGGTCAAGTTTATTTTTAACGCTTATACCCAAACCTCAGATGGTTTTTCAAGAATATAAATCCTCGTGAAAGTCCACAAGTAAAGAGTATCACGATATTTTACTTTTAGGAAGTTGTTTTGCAGCAAGGAGTTCCCGGAGGCTGTTGCACGCTGGGTGGCAGCGACAGACAGGACTCAACGCCTCCTTGCAGCAGCAGGGATTTGTTGGCCTGTGATGCTCAACCCTCCAGGCTCCTTCTCCTCCGAGAAAGGCTCTGCCCAAGTCCAGGGCAACGAGACACTCAGAGCCCCGAGAGCGGATGGTGACAGACGCACCCTAAGAGACAGACAGACTCCCTGCCGCCCTGGCCTGAGCCGCGCACAGCAGTTTTGCTCACTCTGCGAAGAGCTGCAAGGGGCTTGCAGGGCCAGCCCTGCCCCACCGCAGGCCACGCATGCCTGGCCACAGCTGCAGGCATGGCACAGGACAGCAGCCAGGACTCCCAGAAAAAGCCTCCAGCATCTGCCCGCGCAGGAGCGGGCTCGGCCTGCCCCAGCCCGCGGCCGGCAGCAGCAGCCTACCTGGAGGCAGGCAGGATTTGCCAGCAGCACACAGGAAAGGAAAAATCTCTTACCAGAGAGAGGAGCTTTCCTGTAGCTATAGCAATAGCAGACTCCAGACACCCCGTGGTAGAAAAGGTCCAGCAGCTCCCACAGGGGCCCTGAGTTAAGAATCGGAGAGGAAGCGGTCCATAACGTGCAGCGGAGCTCTGCGCCGGCGGTGGCCTGCTTCTAGCGCAGCGTTTTCCTTCCCACCTGCAGCTGGGCTGTATCCTCGGCTCAGCCCCCTGCCAGGAGCACGGAGAACCCACGGGGCCCCTCAGCCTCCTCCAGCCTCTGCGGGCACCCGCTTTCCCCCGAGCCCAGCCCTGCCTGGCCACCCTGAACCACAGAGGGGGCCCCAAGCGGTCCTGCTTCCTCTGCGGGCATACAGACCCCTGCGTGCTTCTTCCCCAGCACCAAACCAGGCCCGGACGTGGCTCGCCCCTCGCCGCTCAGCACCGTGCCCTCAGAGGGCTATCCTCCCTCACGCTGCCGGGATCCAGCAGCCAGCCGAGGCCTGGCAGTTGCTCTTGGTGCGCTGCAGATGAGACGAGCGCCTTACCTGGTTTTTCACAGGAGTCACATAATTTCCCTTCTTCCTCCAGTCAATAGAGTCAGGATACGGCCCAGAGCTGCGCAGGAAGTTCCCCTTTGTGGCTGAGCAGCACTGCA